CCCCCCCCAAAATTGGGGAGAGGTTTCTCAAACTTTTACAATCTCAAAAGGTTGGGAACTAAACCCCCAAAATTCCCCCAGCCGGTAGGTGTGGCGGGGGAATTCTGGGAGTTGAAGTCCACACATCTTAGAGTTGCTAAGGTTGAGCAACACTGCTCCAGACTTTGGGGGTGGTGACCGGCATAAACTCATACCAAATATGTCTGCTCCAGGCAAAGTGGGGGAGCAACCCCGAGAGCATTTCCCCACACAGAAACACACTTGCTCCGTTTTTGCACTTCCTCTCCCTCCCGTGAAGGCCACCGCTGTGACTCAGGTCTCTGGCTGGGCGGGTGGGTTTCCCTTTCCCAGGCAGAGCAGCTCATGGAAGAATGGAACGAGGATTTGGACGGCATGGAAGGCTTTGTCCTGGAGAACAAGAAGTTTGCCCGCTTGCCCGAAGAGGAGTTTGGACACTTCTACACCCAGGACTGCTACGTCTTTCTGTGCCGGTAGGTTGTCTCCCCAGCCTTCCGGGCCCTTCATGACCTTGGCTCCTGGGATGTCTTTCTGCTCTGTTCTCCCCCTTGGTCCAAACTGGTGCATGGGGCTGCTCAGGGAAGGGAAGTGGGCTCACAGGAGATGCTTCTACAGCAATGCACCTCGGTCTCGGGGACCCTCCTGCCCCATTCCTGGTAGGCTGAAATTCAGCAGCTGCTCATGGATGAGCAGGGCCTTCTTTGCTGGGCCCCAACCCTTGAGAGGAGCCCTTCCCAGTGAGTCCCACGTGGGCCCTTGGGAGAGGCTTTAGAGGCCTGTCCTGTCCCATCCCTCCTTTTAGAAGCTCTCTGGAACATGCCGAGGTCTCCGTCCCTCGGCGCTGCGTTCAAATGTATGATCCTCATGCTGGAGAAGGTTGCTTTGAGTCCCCTCTCCTCTGCCGAGGCTGCTTTAGAAGACGGAGCAGCCTGCCAGTCTGAGTAACTCTGCTTTTGCCCTGAGAGGTACTGGATCCCCGTGGAGACCGAGGAGGACGAGGAGAAGAAGAAGAAGAAGGAGGGAGGGGAAGGGGAGGACGGCGGAGAGAAGGAGGAGGAGGAGGAGGAGGTGGCGGAGGAAGAAGAGAAGCAGCCGGAAGAAGACTTCCAGTGCGTGGTTTACTTCTGGCAGGGCCGTGAGGCCTCCAACATGGGGTGGCTGACCTTCACGTTCAGCCTGCAGAAGAAGTTTGAGAACCTCTTCCCCGGCAAGCTGGAGGTGAGCCGAAAGACCGTCCCTGTTGTTGGGAAGAGAGTGGGGTGCATCCACCCTCCCCTCAGTGCTCTAGAGCAGTGTTTCTCAACCTTGGCCGCTTTAAGCTGGGTGGACTTCACCTCCCACAATTCCCCAGCCAGCTCTGGGGAAGTTGAAGTCCACTCCCCAGCCAGCTCTGGGGAGTTGAAGTCCACCCCGCTTTAAGCGGCCAAGGTTGAGAAACACTGGCCTAGAAGCTGAGCTGGACTAAACTATCCTGTCCTCCATATCTGGGCATTGTTGATCAGGGTGTTTGGCCGGACAAAGGCAGAAGTAACTGTTCTGGACATTGTTTTAAGACAGCTGCAGGGATGTCCAAATAGTCTTGCCCAGATATGCTGGACTTCAACTCCCAGAATCCCCCAGCCAGCATGGGAATTCCTCTCTGATTAATCTGGCTTGGGGAGGAGGGTTCTTTAAAAAAACACATTAATTTTCAGCACTGTCCAGGATCCCTCTGCTTTGCTCCGCGAAGGAGCAGAGAGGCTCGTGCCCATCTGTTCCTTTTCCACACTTCAAAGCTGTACCTTTGGCCATCTGCAAACAGCAGCGGAGGCCCCGCAGCCAGGCCTGTACGCTCTGGATGAATTCATCTCCCCGCATTCGAGGGTCATTGATTTCTGCACCCCCCCGAATCTTCCAGGTGGTGCGCATGACGCAGCAGCAAGAGAACCCCAAGTTCCTGTCCCACTTCAAGAGGAAATTCATCATCCACAAGGGCAAAAGGAAAGCCAAGGATGCCAGCCTCCAACCCAGCCTCCACCACATCCGCACCAACGGCAGCGCGCTCTGTACCCGGTGAGCGGCTCCTTTCCCCCCTCGCCGTTTGAACCCAGGTTTTGTCTGGGGTGGTCCTGCTCTCTCTTCTCTGCCAAACGGCTTGGGGAATTTGGAGTCCTCGCCTCCCTGAGGGTGAGGAATGGGTAGGATTGAGGTCCTGGGCCTCTGGACTTGCTGGGAGCATCGGCAGCCTCAGGGGATTGAGGTCCTGCTGAAACCTGGAGGAGGAACCACGGGGAGTTCTCCCGTTTCTGCTCTCCTCGCACCTTTAGATCCCCCAGCTGGGTTACTCAAGTGTTTGGCCTTGGAACGCGGAGTTGGGGATCTGCCACCTAAAATGCAAGTGGAGCATTTCAGAAAGGGGGCCGGCCAGCCTCTGCTAAACCCTACCTCCCACCTCTTCAGAGAGCCTGCTCCACAATCAAACACCAAGCCTGTTACCCTCAGGACGCCCCTTGTCTTTGGCCAAAACTGGCTTCCTTGCTATCCCAGCTCTTCCTTGAGAACAAAAGGGGAATAAACTTTGTTTTCTCCTGCTGGCCATGCTCCAGTCCATCAATGTGGTACCCCAAACCAGGCACGGGAAGACAGCAGTTGTTCTTTCCCTTTGTCGGTGCGCGTGCATGACGAGCTCCAAACCTTCCTCTACAGGTGCATCCAGATCAACACGGACTCCAGCCTTCTGAACTCTGAATTCTGCTTCATCCTGAAGGTAACACAAGTCCCCAAGGCCCACCTGGGCACCGGATTCTTTTTTCATCTCCTGCTCTTTTGTAAAACGCAGCGGGGCTGTTGGAATTAAATGCCTCTTTCTGGGGTAGCCACTTCCATACAACCATGCTGGCTCCGAATTCTAGCAACTGTAATCTGAACACATCTGGCAAAAGCCAGGCAGGGGAAGGCTACCCTCACACATCTAATCGTTTCCTCCCCAGTTATTACAGTTCTTGAATCCTGTTTATTTTTAGGCTGCCTTTCGAGGGCACTCGGTTTTGATCTTAATTGTGGCAATGTCTCTTTGGCTTGGTGGTCTGTTGACCGCCAGAGATCTTCTGCAGTGATGGTCTCCTTGCAGGTTCCCTTCGAGAGCTCCGACAACCAGGGCATCGTGTACACCTGGGTCGGCCGAGCTGCCAACCCCGACGAAGCCAAGCTGGCCGAGGATATCATGAACCACATGTTCGACGACTCCTACAGCAAACAGGTGAAAACAACCCCGCACAGACGGCCCAGGCGGGAAAAGACGCCGGCAGGTCTTCTCCCCTTTCCCCCTCCTCTCCCCCACCCTGACTCCCCGCCTCCCTGTTGGTTTGCAGGCGATCAACGAGGGAGAAGAGCCGGAGAATTTCTTTTGGGTCGGGATCGGAGCCCAGAAACCTTACGATGGAGACGCCGACTACATGAACTTCTCCCGCCTGTTCAGGTGAGCTGGTGGGTCACCGGTGACGGATCCCTTCTTCCCCAAAAGAGCTTTCCTAACCCCCTGGTGGGGAGGCAGCTTAGAAAGTGCCACCGCTTCTGCAATTTTCCCAGGAAAATGGCTATTTTCAAGAAGTTCCGTGGAACCTGAGGGCTGTCTTTCCCCTCCTGACTTCCTCTGGGCCTACGGGCAGTGACGCATGAAACAAGGGGGCGAGGCTTTGATTGTGCACTCATGCCTACCATCTTAACTTTTTCGACACGCTTACGCACCCCCTGCCTGTGGCCCCTCACTTCCCACGTCTCTAGCCATTGACCGTCCTGACTGAAGACTATGGGAGCAAACAGCAAAAGTCTCTGGAGAGCAACCAGCCAGGGAAAGAGCTTCTCTTCTTTCCAAATTCGTAATAATCCCGCAAGCCCTAAATTTGCAGCAGAGCGGAGTCCAAGACTTTCCAAAACATAGAGTGAATTTGCTCCCGGGGGCCACCCTTCCCTCTTCTGCTCTCAGCTCCTATGCAAAAACCGGTTTTTTTCTGGCTTGTTCCCCCAGGTGCTCCAACGAAAGGGGGTACTTCGCGGTGTCCGAAAAGTGCTCCGACTTCTGCCAGGACGACCTGGCCGACGACGACATCATGTTGCTCGACAACGGCTGCGAGGTGAGCTCGGGGCAGGGCCGGGGAGGGATCCCCGGAAGGCCGTGCCCTCAAGCGGACGGCGTTCGATGATGTGGGGCGAGGAGGAAGACGCTCCCTCCGCAGAAGTGGGTTGGCTCTCTTCTGTAGAAAGCACCGTCCGGTGACATCTCCTTTTCCAGGTCTACATGTGGGTGGGGACGCAGACAAGCCAAGTAGAGATCAAGCTGAGCCTCAAAGCTTGCCAGGTAAGGGTGACTCTACAGATCCATTACCCAGAACCTGTTGATAACATTTCAGGGATTGATTGATTGATTGATTGATTGATGTATATATATTCCAAATTTGGTCACCACCCATCTCTCAGGAAGTGACTCTGGACGGTTTACAGTAAAAACAAGGATAAATATTAATTAAAATACAGTAAAACCATATTCCTACTTAAATTAACGCTGAGTGTCTGTGTTAACCCTCCTGCCTTGGCTTCAGCATGACTTTGCTGGCAGAGGAGAAAGGGACGCCCTTCTCTTCCTGAACTCTTCTCCCGTCTAGCGCCACCAAGATGTATTGGACTCCAGCTCCCATAATCTGCAGTTGGCCTGGCCACAGAGTCCGGGGATGATTGAAATAGCAGTCCAGATTCAATGGAAGGTTGGGGGAGTCTAAAAAAAGTCGAGATGGCAGCCACAGTTGACCCCCAAACCCTTTTTACGTGCAAGGGGCAGAGCTGCAATTACAACCCGCCCGCCATCTTGACTTTTTTGACACCCCCCTGGCCGGAAGGCCCTGAATTGGAAAGAGAAGGCCGCTGATAGGAGAGCAGCACTCGAATGCAGCTCCCTCTCTGTTTTGCTGCGACTCGGTCGTTTTTTTCCCTTCCTTTTCGCAGGTCTACATCCAGCACATGCGCTCGAAAGATCCGACGCGCCCCCGGAAACTGCGCCTGGTCCGCAAAGGCAACGAGCCGATTCGCTTCACCCGCTGCTTCCACGCCTGGAGCGATTTCCGGAAACCCCCGGCTTAACGGCGGTCGGTCCAGAGCCTCCGTCCCCTGCCGCGGACCGTGGCCCGCACGGGAATTCCCAAAGGGGTGGATTTTGTAGCCGTGTCCCAGCGCCGGGTGGGCTGACCTGCCCTTCACTGCAGCCTCTTCTCTTCAAGTAGCGGACGGGGCCGACGTTGCTCAAGGAGAGGGAGTGAACCTGAACCTGCCCCCACCCCCCAAAAGGTCAATCTCCCTCTGCCATTTCCAGGACCAGCCAAATTCCCTTCCCCCCCGCCCCCCC